TCACATTGTGTTGCGTTACAGACTGAATTTTATATGGATTAAATTGAGATTTTGTGTCACTGGCCTACACGCCCCATAATGTCGAAGTGGAATTATGTTTTTATGAATGTTTACAAATTAATTACAAATGAAAACCTGAAATGTCTTGAGTCAATAATGTGTTGTATTGGCTTTGCCCCAAACATAACTCTTTGTATTCAGGACAAAAAGTGAATTGCTTAGTCACATTTTTTGCATTATTACTTTAGTGCCTTGTTGCTAACAAGTTGCATGTTTTGGAATATTTGTATTCTGTACAGGCTTCCTTCTTTTCTCTGTCAATTAGGTTAATATTGAGGAGTAACTACAATGTTGTTGATCCATCCTCACTTTTCTCCTGTCACAGCCATTCAACTCTGTGACTGTTTTAAAGTCACCATTGGCCTCATGGTGAAATCCCTGAGCAGTTTCCTTCCTCTCCGGCGACTGAGTTAGGAAGGACGCCTGCATCTTGTAGTGACTGGGATTATTGATACACCATCCAAAGCGTAATTAATAACTTAACCATGCTGAAAGGGATATTCAATGTCTGCTTTTTTATTTTTACCCATCTACCAATGGGTGCCCTTCTTTGCGAGGCATTGGAAAACCTCTCAGGTCTTTATAGTTGAATCTGTGTTTGAAATTCACTGCTCGAGGGACCTTACAGATAATTTTATGTGTGGGGTACAGAGATGAGGTAGTCATTCAAAAATCATGTTAAACACTATTATTGCACACAGAGTGAGTCCATGCAACTTATTATGTGACTTTTTAAGCACATTTGTACTCCTGAACTTTTTTAGGATTGCCATAAGAAAGGGGTTGAATACTTCTTGACTCAAGACATTTCAGCTTTTCATTTTTAATTAATTAGTACAAATTTCGAAAAACATAATTCCACTTTGACATTATGGGGTATTGTGTGTAGGCCATTGACGCAACATCTCAATTTAATCCATTTAAAATTCAGTCTGTGCCACAACAAAATGTGGAAAAGTCAAGGGTTGTGAATACTTTCTGAAGGCACTGTATGTGCTATTACAGACACCTTAATGCATACTTTTAAATTATATTATGTGAGCTAAACATTAAAAAAATGTAAGAATATATAACATTTTCCTTAAAGGTCCAATACATCCATTTTTTTTTATCTCATAATCAAATCACTTCAGGGTAACAATTATGTGCCTTACTGTAATTATTTTAAATAAAATGGGTCAAAAAACAAACAATGGCATGGAACTATCCATTTTCAGTGTAGTCCTTTCATACTGAACAAAAATATTAACACAACATGCAACAATTTCAAAGATTTTACTGAGTTACAGTTTATATATGGAAATCAGTCAATTGAAATAAATTCATTAGGCCCTAATCTATGGATTTCATATGACTGGGAATACAGATATGCATCTGTTGGTTACAGATATATTTAAAAAACGTTAGGGGCATGGACCAGAAAACCAGTCAGTATCTGGTGTCACCACCATTTGCCTCATGCAGCGCAACACATCTCCTTCGCATAGAGTTGATCAGGCTGTTGATTGTGGCCTATGGAATGTTGTCCCACTCCTCTTCAATGGCTGTGCTTAGTTGCTGAATATTGGCGGGAACTGGAACACACTGTCGTACACGTCGATCTAGAGCATCCCAAACATGCTCAACGGGTGACATGTCTGGTGAGTATGCAGGCAATGAAAGAACAGGGACAGTTTAATCTTCCAGGAATTGTTTACAGATCCTTGCAACATGGGGCTGTGCATTATCATGCTGAAACATGAGGTGATGGCGGCGGATGAATGGCACAACAACGGGCCTCAGGATCTCATCACTGTATCTCTGTGCATTGAAATTGCCATAGATAAAATGCAATTGTGTTCGTTGTTCGTAGCTTATGCCTGCCCATACCATAACCCCACCGCCACCATGGGGCACTCTGTTCACAACGTTGACATCAACAAACCGCTCACCCACACAACGCCATACATGTGGTCTGCGGTTGTGAAGCCAGTTGGACATAATTCCAAATTCTCTAATACGAAGTTGGAGGCGGCTTTTGGTAGAGACATTAACATTAAATTCTCTGGCAACAGCTCGGGTAGACATTCTTGCAGTCAGCATGCCAATTGCACGCTCCTTCAAAACTTGAGACATCTGTGGCATTGTGTTGTGTGACAAAACAGCACATTTTAGTGGCCTTTTATTGTCCCCAGTACAAGGTGCACCTGTGTAATGATTATGCAGTTTAATCAGCTTCTTGATATGCCACACCTGTCAGGTGGATGGATTATCTTGGAAAATGAGAAATGCTCACTAACAGGGATGTAAACAAATTTGTGCACAAAATTTGAGAGAAATAAGCTATGGAAAGTTTCTGGGATCTTTTAATATCAGCTCAAGAAACATGGGACTAACACTTTGCATGTTGCGTTTATAATTTTGTTCAGTATACTTTATTAATTATAACACAAACTGATGTTTTTCTTATTTTAGCCTATCTAGTAATTTTTGAATAACCCAAGTTTGGTAGCCTATGCTGCCTCTGCCCATGGGCATGGTTGTTCATGCGGTGGTTACAATGGTTACAATGTATCACTGATCAAACATTCTCATAAAAAGTCTGCAGCAAAGCTGTGGGAGCACAGTTTGATACAGGGATAGATATCATTTTTACATGCAAATCTGATTGGATACAGAGCACAGGAGGCTGCTGAGCAGAGAACGGCTCTTAATAATAGCTGGAATGGAGTCAGGGTTGGAGAGTAACTGATTACATGTAATCTGATTACAAACAATTAATCAGTTAAATTTACCAGCAAAAATATTGTAATCAGATTACAGATACTTGAGAAACTAGATTACTTCTTGGATTACTTTTAAATTCAGAAAGGATGTTTGTGAGAAAAAAATACATTGACATCTTTTCTCAATTACATTCAATTCAGCATTGAAAAAAGGCACAAGTGTAAGTTGTCTTCTAATGCCTCTTAAGGGGAAAGTAATCAGATTACAAGTTACATTACTGATTACAATTTGAAAGGTAACTACTAATGGATTACATTTAGAAAGTAACCTACCCAACCCTGAATGAAGTGAATGGAATGGTATCAAGCACATGGAAACCACTTTATTGATGTGTTCAATACCATTCCATTTATTCCATTCCAGCCCGTCCTCCCCAATTAAGGTGCCACCAGCCACCTGTGATACAGCATTTGATTACTGAAATATCAGCCTAAATCTTTACCTTTTTCTTTGAGGAATAAATTGGGAAAATTTTCAAAGACAGCTCTAGCCGGGGACAGGCCACCAGAATCAGGGACTGTCCCTGGAAATCAGGGACGTCCGGTCTCTGTGCATTAAATAAAAGTTGTTTGATGGGAACAGCATGGGCAATTGATCAACTGGTGACAGGGAGACCATTTTTACATTACATTTTGATTTATACTTTGATTAAGCTTGGAATAAACACTCACTCTCAAAGGTGATGTTTTAAAAATCAAAAAATAGAAAATAAAAAGTACAAATAATAGAACTCACATACTTAGTAGTATTGAAGGATGACAGTGAAATGTACATTGTATTACTTAAAGTAAAAGCATAACAAGGCTGTAGGTTTAAATCACACGGCACACACTCAATGTGCCAAAGTAACGCAACAGAAACATTCAACATACATACCCAGAATTTATCAAAGCATTGTCATTATTGGAAGGACATTCTGAAAATCCATTGATACAGTGTCCTGGAACAGTGATGCAGTGTTGATGAAATTGTGGTCTGGAGAAAAGTAACATGCATTGTTAACATTGTATGATCACTGCTTCTCTATTCCAAGTCAAATTTTGATTGTGGATAAAACATTTTTTAGAGGATGACATTGTCAGTTTCACATTTAAATAATAGTAGTCCTCAGAATTTGAATTAAAGTGCCAAATCAGAGACACAAACAGATTAATTGATGTAAAATAGCTTTAAAAGTAGGTAGGTAAGAAGGTAGATGAGTGCATTTCTTAAACTAGTCATGACAGGTATTTGTTACAGAGAGACTGTACACAGACTGACCACAAGTAAAATCCACTTCTAGACCAGGGCTGCCCAACCCTCTTCCTGGAGATCTACCGTCCTGTGGGTTTTCAGTCCAACCCTAATTTAACACACCTGATTCTACTTATTAGCTGCTCAACAAGACCTTAACTAGCTGAATCAGATTAGGGTTGGACTGAAAACCTACAGGACAGTAGATCTCCAGGAAGACGGTTGGGCAGTCCTGGTCTAGACAAACAACGATGTGCAAAAGTATCATGAAAAATAAAAAAATATAGGTCTAAAGCACTAATAAGATTACTAAATACTTATTATAACTAACACTAATAAGTTCAACTGTCATAGAATATTGGTCAAGCTAAAAAGGTATTGCCAATCCGACTAAACACGACATACAAGGACATGAAAGGTAAAAAAGGAAGTGGGTTGGTTTAACGTGCAGCCTGTACATCATTTCAGTCTCATTCACTAGGAGGGTTTCAAGAAGTCAAACACCTCTGCACTCTGTACATTCAATGGCTGATAGCTTACAGTCTTCACATTGTACTAAGAATACAGCGTCTTACACTAGAAAACCATAGTAAAAAACATATCTACACATATAGGAAACGAGAATCACACAGCCAGCCAACTCGATGAGTGAGATTACTAAATGTACAGCAGGTGACAGAAGGGTCAAAGTTGAAAGTACAGTGGTTTGCTGTCCAGAGACGAGACTAACAACGACACCGAAGCCTTTGACTCTGGTTGATGTGATGGCGTGCACAGACAGTAGAGTAGTGGTATTCAAAGTCGGGGGTCGCCAAAATTTTAAATGTTTATTTTTTAAGAACCACATTTATTTTTTAAAGTACAGATTATTGTATGGAACAATATACAAACGTTTTTGAGAAAGCTAATTAGAAAAATTATATTGTATTGAGTACATGTATTTATTGGTTTCTTTTCATTTTGATATGATGAAAGTGTAATGAATTTAAAGATATTTGTTGATGTAAAAATTGGAATTTACCGATTTTAAGGTTGCGTCATTAGATTTGGGGCAGGGCCATGAAAAATTATAGGGAAAAAAATTGTGTTCCCAGAAATTCTGGCGGGGAAAAAAAATGGGCTAAGGAGTTTGAATACCACTGCAGTAGAGCGTCAAGCGGATGTACAGTACGTGGATATAGGAGGCCATATCATTACAACATGCATAAAAACAGAAACAATTAATCTAAAATATAAAAGGCTTTCCCCTTTACCTAGGTTGGACTCTCTTTAGCAACAAAAGACCGAAGACCACTTCGCTATAATATTGAGACTTGGACTGGTGAAGGACAGTATGGGATGCTAAGGGATGTGGTTGGTGTGATTAGAAGTCCAACGTTGGTAGGCGGGGGCTACAGTACATCTTAAATGTCTTTAGGCATGAGCTGTAGGCCACTGGTGACCTGGAAGCGTGTCTCATCTTCAATACCATACTGCTCCAGAGGGTCCTAGAAGGAGAAGGTAATCAGTGTGTATTCAAGTTGTGTAGAGTGTTATTTTGTACAGTCTATGGTTAGAAGAGACCATCCAGATAACAGAGAACAGGAGGTCTGTCTGTCTTACCTTGCCGGTCAGCCGGTGGATCTCTGTGCGATAGAAGATCAAGTTCTTCCTCATGAACTCATAACTGTAGGACAGATGAGGAATAGAGTGGAAACTAGGATGAGTCATGCAAAATAGTCAACCACCCTGGTCCTGGAGAGCTAATGTAGCTGCACCCTCTGCACTGATAGGCAAGTGGAATGGGGCAGTCCTACATTACCTGGCCTTGATGATGGAGTCGATCCACTCCTGACACTGCTCCTGGGAGTCACACTCAAACAGGTACTTCCTCTCTGCCTCATCTAGGAAAGCTGAGAGAAGTTTGGTTCCTTAGGACAGCAATGTTTTTGTACTGTGACTAAAGCTTAAAAAGGACTTTGCTAGAGTGCCAAACAAGTAAAGAAAAACAATGTTTCTTCTGGATAAGAGCATCTGCTAAATGAGAGAAAAAGTTAAAACAAAAAAAATAGTCACAAATCTACAAGTGGGTCACAGCCAACCAAACAACAATGAATGAGGAGAGTAGAGATCAGTTTTGGACTCACTGATAGAGAAGGCTTGGCTGTCCTCTCTCTCTACCCGGCACTGCTCTAGCAACAAGGCACCCTGAGGCTGTCAAGGAGAGAAAACACCCACTTACTTTCTCCACTCTTGCCCAATCCCCTTACACTCAGAGACAGACATAAGCTAGATGGTGGTGGTGACTCTTCCTACCTCCTCCTCATCAGTTCGGAAGTAGAACAGGAAATTAACCACCAGCTTCACCAACCTCCTCTTTACAACTGGCATAACAGATAAGAACAAATGTGAGCAAATGTCTTCCTGATCCTGACATCAATTTGACATTACAGCAGCATTCCAATGAATGAGTAACAATTGCTAACCAGCAAGTTAGAGTAGCTAAGATCTAGACTAGGTGTTATGGACATCAGTGATAATGATGATCAAGATAGTACAGGAGTAATAGATGATCTATGCTGTGATCCGACTCGGATTAGACCTACCATCTCCTTTCTTCGGTCCTCGCATCCCAAGTTCTGCCGCCCTCTCAGAAGGTTGGCGACTCAACGAGATGAGCTCCTTCTCGTTGAAACGCATCCTGAGGCGGTTGGGTTTCACAAATGCAGCACAGGGTTGACTGTTAACTCTATAAATCTTTGGTAAGTAACACTCTCAGCTAAAAGGAGCCATTTCCTTACGCATGAGGGCAACCTAGCCTAGCTTGCTATTCTGTCAAAATGTCAGTGGTGGTGATATCCATCGTTACACGGCTCACTGCGGTAGTTTCGTGCGGGTAAACTCGTTTCAGCTAGTTCCTCCAGCCGCCTCCTGCTGTCAGAAGAAGTGCACTTACTTTCAACTACTCGCTGCCTAACTAACCGAGCTTCTTGAAATGTGTTTGATTGTGGTTGGTTAAACTCACTGAGGTCGAAGTGTTCCATTCTAGCCTAGCTACGTCCCTAGAAAAAATAAAAAAGTGGACACTCCTTTATATGTGACACTTGCTTTCGTAGTATGGTGACCGTGTGAGGACATTCTGTGGCAGGACTGATACGCATTTGAACATTATAGGCTATAAATTATAGCCAAAGGGATGTCTAGAATTTTAGAGAGGGAACTAATTAAGATATTGACATTTTTGTTAATCTAGTTCGTACAATAAAGCTAAAGAAAGACCGCATTTGACATTGTCAAATTGTGTTTTGTGAACGTTTGTCAATAAAGATATACAAACGTACACAACTGATGTTCGCGCGTGCGCATGAATGTTTAAATTGTGAACGGCGTGACCTAAACGTTAAATATTTGGTGAGTTTGAAAACGAGTCATTATCTGGTAAATGTGGTTTTAGCTAGGGTATTGCATTTATTTTAATAGATGTATGTACATATACGGCAACCAGATGTGAAAAGGTGCCCTGTTTTGTTCGTTTAATGTTAAAATCGTCATTATGTTGTGCTACCTTGCCGGTTAGCTCAACAAAGCTAATTTTGCTAACATGCGCACCAAATGCAGTGCTTTTGATGTAGTAATTTAGCCAATTATGTAGTTATGTTTGCAAATGGATAACGTAACTAGTTAGTATTGGATAGCTAGCTAATTAGTCGCACGCTAATTTGTTAGCTAGGTACGTTAACTAGCTAACGTCGTTACGAAGTTTCAGTTGTTCTGCAAATGCATCAGGTGAATATATTTTACGTGTTGTTTTTCAATGGGAAGTTAGATTGGCCATTAACAATCACAGCCACATCAGAGATGGCCAGCTAGTTAAGTAGTTTCCACCTTCTATGCCACAGTGATTAGATCAATTCCACAACTAATCTGCAATCTTAGTTCTTGTGCTAGTAACGTTATTACAAACATAACATTGACAGTATTCTTCCTGTATGTTCCTCCACAGTCTGAAGACATATTTTCTGAGTGTTTGACCAGCTGTCCAGCAGGAGGAGGTGAGTGTTTGAGGGTGAGTGAATCCATCGCCCCGCAAAGATGGATTTCCAACACAGAGCTGGGGGCAAGACTGGGAGCGGTGGGGTGGCATCCTCCTCGGAGAGCAACCGGGACAGGCGAGAGCGGCTCCGCCAGCTGGCCCTGGAGACCATCGACATCAACAAGGACCCCTATTTCATGAAGAACCACCTGGGCTCTTATGAGTGTAAGCTGTGTCTGACCCTCCACAACAATGAGGTAAGAAAGTGCTCATATTAACACAACATAACTCTTCTCTTTATATGATGTTCAATTTAGGGCTGACCAACAACATCAAAAATCTTGGTCGACCAATCGATTGGTCAAAATGTTAAAATGTATTATATGTGTTTTAATAAAATCAACTATATGTAGGCTACTGAGCTTGTCTGATGCTTTAAGCACACTGATTAAATAATTATGACACACAAATTACTTGAGGGAGCCAGAGATCAAGATAGCCGCGGCAGGTAGCTTAGTGGTTAAGAGCGTTGTGCCAGTAACCGAAAGGTCGCTGGTTCTAATCCCCGAGCCGACTAGGTGAAAAATCTGTCGATGTGCCCTTGAGCAAGGCACTTAACCCTAATTGCTCCTGTAAGTCGCTCTGGATAAGAGCGTCTGCTAAATGACGAAAATGTAAATGTAATAGTAAAAATGTAAATGTAATAGCCTAACCAGAAGAACTGTGGTCCTCTGTAGCTCAGCTGGTAGAGCACGGCGCTTGTAACGCCAAGGTAGTGGGTTCGATCCCCGGGACCACCCATACACAAAAAATGTATGCACGCATGACTGTAAGTCGCTTTGGATAAAAGCGTCTGCTAAATGGCATATTATTATTATTATTATTATAAGAAGAAAAAAACTGTTCCCTACTCTCTTCCTCCTGCTTCTGCTGACCTTCGCAGATTATGCTGTTACGCTCCTGCTGTTACGCTCCTAATAGGCCACACCAGGGGTCGGCAACCTTTTCCATTTGGAGTGCCAATTTTTCTTACCATTTCTACCGATCTGCGCGGCAGATATGATTTTCATATGCACTATTTCGTGGAACAGTTTAATTTCATTTATAATAAGTCTTCGTATCTCAAAATCATTATAATGTGGTTAATAAAAATTCTAAAAGTAACTTCCATTGCCAACGATGTAAAAAATAGCCTCCATAAAGCCAACAAATAAAAACATTGCAGCCTGCAGGTAGCAAATATCTTGATAAAAATAAATATCCTATAAATCACATTGGCTACACATGGCCTGTCTGCAAGGAACTTGAAACATTGTATCAACTATTAACTTGGGTCTGTCCTGAAGCTCACTCTAGCAAACTTGCAACACTGTATAAAATATTCTGGGCCTTCAGAGTGTCCTGCTCCAGTGAGCTCCAGATAGACATAGCCGTAGGCTATTTGCACAAGGGTTAAGAAGAAATCAGGTAGGCCTATTTTATGACGTTTCCACCGGATCAGAGCATGACATTCCCCCCCCCCCCCCTTTCAAGCTGAGTGGTTATCAAAAGAGAGCTGGAAATATTTTTCAAATAGGTTATGTTGAGGAACTATGTCAATGGATGTATGAACAGACTTCGTTTACTTGCTGTTTGAGGTGAATAAAAAAATTACTTTGAGAAGTTCCGGTGGTGGGGAGTTAAGACAATCAGAAATACTATCAGATCCCCAAATGGGCACATTTATAGGCCTACATTTGCGCTCAGGCCAGGTAGCCTAGGCCTACTTCTAAGCATAATCGGGTGCGCATCCTTACTCAAGATTGACAGGAGTGGTCCAAACAAAAGACAATGAATAAATTGATAAATCCTAAATGGAATGAAATAAACCAAAACTTGTTTCTTACAAGTGTAGCCTAGGTTGTGCGCTCTGCAAACAACGTTTCCACTCCGACAATGAGAACGGTAAAATACAAATAATATATTGAATGCGTTGAACAGAAATTACCGTAACCATACAAACATTGTAGATTAGAAATTATGGTAATTAACGGTACATGTACTCCTGGTGTGCAATCCCCGCGGCCTCCACAATGGATTAGTCCACTGAGACAGGCTTGTATGACAGGTGACTCGTGCCATAATAAATAAAGAAAAAAATTATATACTGTACCAGTCAAGTTTGGACACCTACTCATTCAAGGTTACATTGTAGAATAATAGTGAAGACATCAAAACTATGAAATAACACATGGAATCATTTAGTGACCAAAAAAGTGTTAAACAAATCAAAATATATTTGAGATTCTTCAAATAGCCACCCTTTCCCTTGATGACAGCTTTGCACACTCTTGGCATTCTCTCAACCAGCTTCACCTGGAATGCTTTTCCAACAGTCTTGAAGGAGTTCCCACATATGCTGAACACTTGTTGGCTGCTTTTCCTTCACTCTGCCGTCCAACTCATCCCAAACCATCTCAATTGGATTGTCGGGGGATTGTGGAGGCCAGGTCATCAGATGCAGCGCTCCATCACTCTCCTTCTAAAATAGCCCTTACACAGCCTGGAGGTGTGTGGGTTATTGTCCTGTTGAAAACAAATGATAGTCCCACTAAGCCCAAACCAGATGGGATGGTGATTTGCTGCAGAATGCTGTGGTAGCCATGCTGGTTAAGTGTGCCTTGAATTCTAAATAAATCAGTGTCACCAGCAAAGCACCCCCACACCATAACACCACCTCCTCCATGCTTTACGGTGGGAAATACACATGTTGAGATCATCCGTTCACCCACACCGCGTTTCACAAAGACACGGCGGTTGGAAGCAAAAATCTCCAGTTTGGACTCCAGACCAAAGGACAAATTTCCACCGGTCTAATGTCCATTGCTCGTGTTTCTTGGCCCAAGCAAGTCTCTTCTTATTGGTGTCCTTTAGTAGTGGTTTCTTTGCAGCAATTTGACCATGAAGGTCTGATTCACACAGTCCCCTCTGAATAGTTGATGTTGAGATGTGTCTGGTGACTTGAACTCTGTGAAGCATTTATTTGGGCTGCAATTTCTGAGGCTGGTAACTAATGAACTTATCCTCTGTAGCTGAGGTAACTCTGGGTCTTCCATTCCTGTGGTGGTCCTCATGAGAGCCTGTTTCATCCATAGCGCTTGATGGTTTTTGCGACTGCACTTTGAAGAAACTTTCAAAGTTCTTGACATTTTCCGTATTGACTGACCTTCATGTTTCAAAGTAATGATGGACTGTCATTTCTCTTTGCTTGTTTGAGCTGTTCTTGCCGTAATATGGACTTGGTCCTTTACCAAATAGGGCTATCTTCTGTATACCCCTCCTACCTTGTCACAACACAACTGATTGGCTCAAACGCATTAAGAAGGAAATAAATTCCACAAATTAACTTTTAAGATGGCACACCTGTTAATTGAAATGCATTCCAGGTGACTACCTCATGAAGCTGGTTGAGAGAATGCCTAGAGTGTATAAAATATATTTTGATTTGTTTAACACTTTTGGTTACTACATGATTCCAAATGTGTTATTTCATAGTTTTGATGTCTTCACTATTATTCTACAATGTAGAAAATAGCAAAAATAAAGAAAAACCCATGATTGACTAGGTGTTCTAAAACTTTTGACCGTCAGTGTATTTGCGACTGCTCGACCAAAAAAAAGTATTGGTCGACCAACAGCCTATCGACCAAACAATCGACCAGTCGGCTAAATGGGGTCAGCCCTAGTTCAAAGGTTCATTTCAATTCATGATCTTAAACGTTTTCTCTTTACAGGGCAGCTATCTGGCCCATACACAGGGAAAGAAGCATCAGACTAATTTGTAAGTACACATCTGTTACTACTTTATTTGTTGTGTCTTTAATTGAAGCGCTTTCTATATTTGGTGTTGCTCACTTCCCTGTTTTGTTGAATGCAGAGCGAGAAGAGCAGCTAAAGAAGCAAAAGAAGCCCCTGCCCAGCCAGCCCCCGAAAAGGTCAAGGTTGAGGTCAAGAAATTTGTGAAGATTGGTCGACCGGGATACAAAGGTAGGTAATTATGTGTTTTGATGTTAGTTAGTCATCAAGGATTCAATGACTCCAAAACAATGTTATGAACTGTCAGGGTTTTCCCCAGGATTTTTTAAAACAAGGTGGTGCTGATGAATTGGGGGGGGGGGGGTGCGCAGTGGCCCATCTTTGAACACCTGTAAATGCAAAATTTCTGCAATCTGGAGCAAAAGCGTCCTTAAATGATAACAAATAAAGTAAAAAAGTGGCGCAGCCAGTCCACAAGGTGGCGCTGCGCCCCTCTTACATTCTTTGTGGAGAATCGTGGAGCTGAACTGATATTATTTCCCTTGTCAACAGTAACCAAGCAGAGAGATCCAGAGAGTGGGCAACAGTCTTTACTTTTCCAGGTGAGACATGGACATAATTAACATAGGTCAGATCAATGGAGTGAAACCAATTTCTACTATTTTCTGAGTCTTGGGACACACTGGCTACCTAGACTAAATGTCCTCCTCCTCCCCTATCAGATTGATTACCCAGAGATAGCAGAGGGCATAGGACCCAGGCATCGCTTCATGTCTGCATACGAGCAGCGCATCGAGCCCCCAGACCGTCGTTGGCAGTACCTTCTACTGGCTGCAGAACCCTATGAGACCATCGCCTTCAAGGTGTGTGTCTTCATTTGGGACCTAAGGGAATCCCCAATCACTCCAATCTGTCTATGCCTCGTACTGTTTTCCTGTGAATGACAAATCATATCTTTTTTGTATATTCTGTATTTCTGCAGGTGCCAAGCAGAGAGATTGATAAAGCCGAGAGTCGCTTCTGGACCCACTGGAACAAAGATACAAAACAGGTATAGTACTGGTGATGACAGTCCCATGGATGGTCATATCTTTTGGAGGATATTTGGGTATTAATAGAATCCAACTGAATGTACACATCATGCAATTTCTCTTGCCCCCCCCCCCCCCCCCTCCCCCTCCCCCCCCCTGTATCTCTCCAGTTCTTCCTCCAATTCCACTTCAAGATGGAGAAATCCCTCGCTCCACCCAGCGGACCCGTACCCCCCATGGGTGTAAAGCGTCCCCCTCCCCTGATGAGTGGGATGGGGCCTCGACCCCCCAATGAGGCCATGCCCCCTCCACCCCCAGGGGGGATGCATATGCCCCCCTTGCCCCCTGGTGCCCCTGGCCCTCCCCAGATGCACCACCACCATCAGATGCAACACGGTGGCCCCGGGATGGGCATGCCACCCCCGATGAGACCCCCGCTCCCCTCTGACGGCCATGGAGGAATGCCCCATCAAAACAACTGATCATTCTGTTAGATTATGTTTGCCTATCGTTTGGTTGCTATTACACTACAGTGCTCCGTCATTGGACTGTGTCAAGTGGACTGTTTCAACGTCCAATATACAGTTTCTAAACTGGATGAAACGTTGATTACCCACATGCTTTTCTACCCATGGACCATATTCAGTAGGTTTTGTACACAGTTGCCAAGGATTATTATTTTTTTGTCATACTGAAAATTGTCTCTGGCAGCATCCACACTAGCATACTACTCAGAATGAAGCAGTGTACATGTAATGGTCATGCATTCTAAATGTTCAGCTAGTGTGGATATTGTAAGGTAGTCATTGGTTGTAAGGTAGTCATTGGTTGTTTTGAGAGTACTGTAATAGCACCAGTATGAATAGCTTCCCCTGTATTGTAGATGTTGAGCCTTCTGTATGAAACAACATCTTTGTGAAGATCCACAACTCATCTTTTTTTTAAGAGTTATTTTTTTTAAATAATAAAAGTGAGTTGTATCTTATGATCTTTCTCTGTGTGCTTGGCTGGAAAGAATGTTTTTAGCTGCAAAGACATATGCTTGTGCAATAATACAGGACTTTTATTTGTTTCTCAAAGATTACACAGGGGAAACTTTATTGATGTGTTCAATGCTCTGTGACAGAGTTAGGGTAGCAGAAATGAGATGTTAGATAAAGCAAGTTTCTTTTCAAGTACAGTATTTACAATGTTATCAAAAAAAGTACATCAATTGCCCAGCAGTAACAGGCAGTCTGAAACATCCAACATTACTATAAAGGGGCCCCAGTTGAGCAGTTATTTTCCAATAGCACCCATACAATTACTCATAAGTCTTGCTCATCTTCACAATACAAACCACAAATCATTCAACAATATTCTAAGCAACAAGTACATGGCAGACTAAGAACTGATTTGCTCTTCTGACTGGCATGTGTAATGGCTGCCAATGAGCCAACAGCATTTATTAGTTGTAAGAGATGTGGCCTCATTTTACTATTACTAATGGAGAACTAGAACTATCATTGTAGTCCTTTACTAAATGCTTCATCAGACGGCATGGTGTTTGCCTTTAGATTAGTTGGCTTTTGATTTCATGACCCTTTGTAGCTTCTTGGGTTTTACCTCGTCTTCCTCTTCATTTATCTCCTCTTCCTCATCCATTTCTTCATCCCTCTCTCTCTTGGCCTGTTTTCCCTTTTTCTTTCCCTTAGTTTCTTCATCCCTCTCTCTCTTGGCCCTCTTATCTTTTGTCTTCCCCTCTCTGCCTTTGACAAGTTTTCTCTCTGGTGTTCCCTTGCTTCTCAGACCCTTCAGTGACCTCTCTCGAACCCCCTTCTTCACTCCACCTTGTTTGGTTTCCCCTTCATCGTCTTCTTCATTATCACCGTCATCAAAGTCGGGAAACCACCAGAAGAGCACCTCATACAGAGAAGTCTCAGGCTGCAGAAACAGGAAATGGTCATAAGCAAACAGAAGTGCGGCACATCTTTGGAAAAAGGTACTGTACTTTATACTCATAGAACGACGTACTATTTGAAAATGCTGTAGTGTTCGTTTTAATGTGTCGCTTGTTATCAAATTTTAGAATCCGATTTGGGACAAATTGTCCTGGTAAAGCGGTCAATCAAATCAGAGACATACATGGAGCACTATTTATCTGATGTACCTTTCCGCCAGCAATTCATTCTGGGGTATAAATGGATCGGATTGTTGTGGTCCCATACACATTTTCAGTGAATGTTGTATGACGTCTGAGTATTTCAAGCACGATTCAACCATACTAATTATGCCTATTGTATGGAAGTGTGAGATTCCATACACACACATTCAGCTAAAATCTATATACAGTTGAAGTTGGAAGTTTACATACACTTAGGTTGGAGTCATTAAAACTCGTTTTTCAACCACTCCACAAATTTCTTGTTACTAAACTATAGTTTTGGCAAGTCGGTTACGACATCTACATTGTGCATGACACAAGTAATTTTTCCAACAATTGTTTACAGACAGATTATTTCACTTATAAATCACTATCACAATTCCAGTGGGTCAGAAGTTTACATACACTAAGTTGACTGTGCCTTTAAACAGCTTGGAAAATTCCAGAAAATGATGTCATGGCTTTAGAAGCTTCTGATAGGCTAATTGACATAATTTGAGTCAATTGGAGGTGTACCTGTGGATGTATTTCAAGGCCTACCTTCAAACTCAGTGCCTCGTTGCTTGACATCATGGGAAAATCAAAATAAATCAGCCAAGACCTCAGAAGAAAATGTGTAGACCTCCACAAGTCTGGTTCATCCTTGGGAGCAATTTCCAAACGCCTGAAGGTACCACGTTCATCTGTACAAACAATAGTACGCAAGTATAAACACCATGAGACCACGCAGCTGTCATACCGCTCAGGAAGGAGACGCGTTCTGTCTCCTAGAGATAAACGTACTTTGGTGCAAAAAGTGCAAATCAATCCCAGAACAACAGCAAAGTACCTTGTGAAGATGCTGGAGGAAACATGTACAAAAGTATCTATATCCACAGTAAAACGAGTCCTATATCGACATAACCTGAAATGCCGCTCAGCAAGGAAGAAGCCACTGCTCCAAAACCGCCATAAAAAAGCCAGTCTACGGTTTGCAACTGCACATGGGGACAACGATCGTACTTTTTGGAGAAATGTCCTCTGATCTGATGAAACAAAAATAGAACTGTTTGGCCATAATGACCATCGTAATGTTTGGAGGAAAAAGGGGGATGCTTGCAAGCCAAAGAACACCATCCGAACCATGAAGCACGGGGGTGCTGCAGGAGGGACTGGTGCACTTCACAAAATAGATGGCATCATGAGGTTTGAAAATTATGTGGATATATTGAAGCAACATCTCAAGACATCAGTCAGGAAGTTAAAGCTTGGTTGCAAATGGGTCTTCCAATTGGACAATGACCCCAAGCATACTTCCAAAGTTGTGGCAAAATGGCTTAAGGACAACAAAGTAAAGGTATTGGAGTGGCCATCACAAAGCCCTGACCTCATTCCTATAGACAATTTGTGGGCAGAACTGAAAAAGCGTGTGTGAGCAAGGAGGCTTACAAACCTGACTCAGTTACACCAGCTCTGTCAGGAGGAATGGGCCAAAATTCACCCAACTTATTGTGGGAAGCTTGTGGAAGGCTACCCGAAATGTTTGACCCAAGTTAAACAATTTAAAGGCAATGCTACCAAATACTAATTGAGTGTACGTAAACTTCTGACCCACTGGGAATGTGATGAAAGAAATAAAAGCTGAAATAAATCATTCTCTCTACTATTATTCTGATATTTCACATTCTTAAAATAAAGTGGTGATCCCAACTGACCTAAGACAGATAATTTTTACTAGGATGAAATGTCAGGAATTGTGAAAAACTGAGTTTAAATGTATTTGGCTAAGGTGTATGTAAACTTCCGACTTCAACTGTATTTATCCATATTTTAATGGATTGTCCAGCTAAACGTCAGTGACGGTAGTAGCTTATCTGCAAAGTGCAGATGAAAACCAGCACACACTGCAGGCTTTTAGGAGTGCTGCTTGGCATCATATCTCCTGTAATCCATACCATGTTGGGAATGAGGTTTCTGAGCCCGGAGAGACGGGAGAGTATTTTGTGTGTCTGTGCCACTACCTCCTGTGGTTGGACTTTGTGTCTCAGTGAGGAGCGCCTCACAGTCAGTGCAATGTCATACTCCTCTTCCTCCACACCCCGTCCACCTTTTATGGTTTCTATAGGATGACAGGACAATCACATCCATCATGGAAATCACTTTAATCATTAATGACAAAGTACTTTTTTATTGCCAGCACCACAAATAGAGGTGTGACAGTTATCCTATGGAAAAGAGATGATCTAACCTACCCTCCTAAAATGTTCACTGTGTACAGTATGTGTAGTGGGGTGTGGGCTACACTTGTCTACTTGCCTTGTAGTTTCTGAAAGCCAGTGCTGAGCAGCAGGATGGTGATGGCTATGAACAGACAGCGGTTGAGGGTGACCCCTTCCCAGGGTGTCTCTATCTGGCTCAAGTTCTGGAGGGACATAGCTTTACGCAGAGGCACTGAGATAAACAGAGGCCCGAGAGAAACAAAGAGACAGGGGTTATAACAGCATAAATCAGGTGTCTTTGACTGACATGTTTTTAAGAGAGACAGAGAGAGAGAGGTGGGCTCACTGCTTCTGGCAGGGAGACTGCGTTCTCTGGGCATCATCTTGGGGACTTGCTGCATGACTGGAGATTCCTGTTGAGAAGGCATGGTCCTCTCCTGGAGGGTCCTCCTCCTCTCCTGAGCGTACATTTCTGCAGAGAAACAGATCACAGTTAGCCAGAGGTATACTCACTAGGTTGACCACCACCACAACATAGTACTAGAAGCATCATGTCACCTCCACCTGTCACATCCATTGGGAGCAGGCAAGGACATGGTGTTGGTGGTGTATGCTCTGTCTAACGGCTAGTGGTGCAGAACGGGGTGAGTAAAGGAGTGTGAGAGAAATGTGATGAGGGAGAGAGAAAATATACACTTGGTTGTAACTAACCTTTGCTCTAAGAGGATAGGAGCTTTGCTAGTTAATGCTCCCCAGTAAGGCTGTGTGAGGTGAATTCAAACTGTGGTGCTCATAGGACTAGAGATCATATTTCAATGGCATGGTAACTATGTAGAGCTATGCTGCTACCACCAGCCTGCACCACTCAGACCCCAGTGTTCTGAAATAGGGCCCCTAACGGTTTTAGTACACTTTTTGTGTAAAGACGTCTTGACCCCAAGGATAACCTTACAAGATAAGATAATGGTATAGAACACTCAGTTGCCAGTTTATTAGGTACACAAATCTAGTACCAGGTCAGATCCCCCTTTGTCCCATAACAGCCTGAATTCTCCGGGGCATGGAAACGTTGCTCAGTTGGTATCAAGGGACCTAACGTGTGCCAGGAAAACATTCCCCACACCATTACACCACCGCCACCAGCTTGTACCGTTGACACCAGGCAGGAAGGGGCCATGGACTCATGCTGCTTACGCCAAATCCTGACTCTGCCATCAGCATGACGCAACAGGTACTGGGATTCGTCAGACCAGACAATGTTTTTTCACTCCTCAATTGTCCAGTGTTGGTGAACACGTACCAGCTGGAGTCGCTTCTTCTTGTTTTTAGCTGATAAGAGTTGAACCCTGTGTGGTCATCTGCTGCAATAGCCCATCCGTGACAAGGACGAATTGTGCGTTCCGAGATGCCGTTCTGCACACCACTGTTGTACTGTGCCGTTATTTGCCTGTTTGAGGCCCGCTTGTTAGCTTGCACATTCTCGGTAAATGCTAGACACTGTCGTGCGTGAAAAGCCCAGGAGGCTGGCTGTTCCTGTGATACTGGAACCGGCGCACCTTGCACTGACGATCATACCCTGCTCAAAGTCGCTTAGGTCACTTGTTTTGCCTATTCTAATGTTCAATAGAACAGTAACTGACTGACTTGATGCCCGTCTGCCTGCTTTATATAGCAAGCCACAGCCACGTGACTCACTGTCTGTAGGAGCGAACCATTTTCGTGAACGGGGTGGTGTTTAACTGAGTATAGTTCACACAGCTGGTAAAGGAGACAAGCCATCGGTTGTGTTTCTGGTTCAGTGGTACGATCTATATTTACTTCAGTTTTTGATTGATTGTCTTCCACAGGGACTGAAACAGTGTCTGACTCACGCTCTTTGTTGTGGTCATTGAGCTTTAGTTGAGTCAGTGGTCACTGTGTGTTCCTTACCTGGACCTGGTCTGCGGACAGGCTTCTGAGGTGGAGGTTCTTGTCTGTCTAACTCCTCCTCAAATCTCTCAAAACTCTTCTCCATCCCTGCCCTGAGAGAGAGAGAAATATGAGAGAAGGGGGAAAGAGAGAGGGGAGGGGGAGAAAGGAGGGACAGGGTAAGAGGTGAGAAAGAGATTTATAGGATTGTCACAGTTAATCATGTTGCCAACATGTACAATAATTTTCCCTGATTCATATACAGTATATAGAGGGGTAGAAACGAGAAACAGCATTTGGTCAGAGCACAGTCATACCTATGGATTAGTTGATATTTTTAGATGAGATATTTTTGCTTGCTGTCGATATAGACGTGTAAATGAAATGAATGATGACTGGATAATTATACACTGAGTATACCAAACATTAAGAACACCTTCCTAATATCGAGTTGCATACCCCCCCCCCCCCTTGCCCTCAGAACAGCTTCAATTCGTCGGGGCATGGACTCTACAAGGTGTCAAAAGCGTTCCACAGGGATGCTGGCCCATGTTGACACCAATGCTTCCCACAGTTGTGTCAAGTTGGCTGGATGTCCTTTGGGGGGACCATTCTTGATACACACAAGAAACTGTTGAGAGTGAAAAACCTAGCAGCATTGCAGTTCTTGACAAAAACCGGTGTGTACCACTTAAATCTTTTGTCTTGCCCATTCACCCATTGAATGGCACACACACACAATCCATGTCTCAATTGTTTCAAGGCTGAAAAATCCTTCTTTAACCTGTCTCCTCCCCTTCATCTACACTGATTGAAATGGATTGAACAAGTGACATCAATAAGGGATCATAGCTTTCAACTGGATTCAACAAAAGTTTCTCAATACTTTGTTATATACCCTTTGTTGGCAATGACACAGGTCAAACGTTTTCTGTAAGTCTTCACAAGGTTTTCACATACTGTTGCTGGTATTTTGGCCCATTCCTCCATGCAGATCTCCTCTAGAGCAGTGATGTTTTGGTGCTGTCGCTGGGAAACACGGACTTTCAACTCCCTCCAAAGATTTTCTATGGGGTTGAGATCTGGAGACTGGCTAGGCCACTCCAGGACCTTGAAATGCTTCTTACGAAGCCACTCCTTCGTTGCCCGGGCGGTGTGTTTGGGATCATTGTCATGCTGAAAGACCCAGCCACGTTTCATCTTCAATGCCCTTGCTGATGGAAGGAGGTTTTCACTCAAAATCTCACGATACATGGCCCCATTCATTCTTTCCTTTACACGGATCAGTCGTCCTGGTCCCTTTGCAGAAAAACAGCCCCAAAGCATGATGTTTCCACCCCCATGCTTCACAGTAGGTATGGTGTTCTTTGGATGCAACTCAGCATTCTTTGTCCTCCAAACACGACGAGTTGAGTTTTTACCAAAAAGTTATATTTTGGTTTCATCTGACCATATGACATTCTCCCAATCCTCTTCTGGATCATCCAAATGCACTCTAGCAAACTTCAGACGGGCCTGGACATGTACTGGCTTAAGCAGGGGGACACATCTGGCACTGCAGGATTTGAGTCCCTGGCGGCGTAGTGTGTTACTGATGGTAGGCTTTGTTACTTTGGTCCCAGCTCTCTGCAGGTCATTCACTAGGTCCCCCCGTGTGGTTCTGGGATTTTTGCTCACCGTTCTTGTGATCATTTTGACCCCACGGGGTGAGATCTTGCGTGGAGCCCCAGATCGAGGGAGATTATCAGTGGTCTTGCATGTCTTCCATTTCCTAATAATTGCTCCCACAGTTGATTTCTTCAAACCAAGCTGCTTACCTATTGCAGATTCAGTCTTCCCAGCCTGGTGCAGGTCTACAATTTTGTTTCTGGTGTCCTTTGACAGTTCTTTGGTCTTGGCCATAGTGGAGTTTGGAGTGTGACTGTTTGAGGTTGTGGACAGGTGTCTTTTATACTGATAACAAGTTCAAACAGGTGCCATTAATACAGGTAACGAGTGGAGGACAGAGGAGCCTCCTTAAAGAAGAAGTTACAGGTCTGTGAGAGCCAGAAATCTTGCTTGTTTGTAGGTGACCAAATACTTATTTTCCACCATAATTTGCAAATAAATTCATAAAAAATCCTACAATGTGATTTTCTGGATGTTTTTCCTTCAATTTGTCTGTCATAGTTGACGTGTACCTATGATGAAAATTACAGGCCTCTCTCATCTTTTTAAGTGGGAGAACTTGCACAATTGGTGGCTGACTAAATACTTTTTTCCCCCACTGTAAATTATATCTATCCCAACATGTCCTGGGGTTGTCATTTTTGACTTGACAGTTGTGTGTTACATGGTTCACTTTGCAATAGATCTTAACCAGTTTTCTGGGTGTTCTTAATGTTTTGTCCACTCAGTGTATAATCAGTCATTACAACAGAAGATAGTGTGTAATAACAACCAACACATTTGTAATAGACCTTAGTAAAGCAACAACAAACACAACGAAGCCATAAAGGCACTAGGCGTCAAGACAACCTCTCCAGCACTTAACCTACTTGAGGCCCAGTCTACTAACCTAAATGATTACATTCTAATCCACTGAAGCCATAGTTGAGGACATTACATTTATGATTGAACCTTGAACTAATCTTATAACAGTCCTAGAAATAGGGATGAGTCGACACGATAGAGAGACACAGACACACAAACAGGCATGGAGAGTTGCAGAGATAGGCTACTATGATGCTCCAGCTGTGACAGCAGCTGGTCTAACCCCTAACCCTTGACCTCAGACGGAGTGCGTCTTACCTGGTTCCACATGAGGGGTCCCTCAGAAAACATGAAGGACCTTTGTCACTGAGCAGTTGTCCTAGAGCGGGGCCGGGGTGGTGGCAGAGACACCTTCTGTGTGGAGGGTGACAGCCAAGCACAGGTGCAGCCTGGAGAATGAAAAAACAAAACGCATTGAGTGTCAGCCAGAGGGGTTGAACGATGTTGGGTGGACTACATGCCAGCGCCCTCCCCCATCCAGAGATAGAGGATTGGGGGAGGGAGAACGAGGGATGGGGGAGAGCAAGGGTTATGCTAAATCAGGAATGGCCGCTCCTGATGCTGAAGGGCTGCTTTGTACACAGGTTTGTTCTAGACCAGCATGAACCCATGTTCAATTAAATTACCCATGGCTGCCTAGAATTTGACTTAGATATTTTGGGTCAATATGAAACGCCAACATGTGTTTTTTTTCATTATGCTTCATTAACTGTACTTTTCATTGTTTCAGTACCATATGAGGATGTACTTTACAGAATTGACCACCAGGTGGCAGTACAAGGCAAGTGGTAGAGCCAAGCCAGGCCATGGCTGGGGCTGGTTCATGCGGTTGAAGTATTCTGTGAGTTTCAGTCATCTGTGTTACCTAATAGAGAGAATAGGGTGTTTTCGACGCACATTTCAATATGATTAGATATACTATTGTGTGTCCTTTTGTGATAGCAGATAGCGTGCCACCTCAAGAGAAATGGGAAAATGCAGAATAATGGGGAAGGATGGGTTAGGGTTGGAGACAGAGTGTTGGAGGGGATGGGGGAGGCTTTGGGACGGGATGGGGGAGGCTTTGGGATGGGATGGGTGTGCAGGGAGAAAATAGCTGGGAAGCAGGATTAGCTAGTGGGGAGGAAAGATGAGTCATCATGTCATTGTTAGTGCCAGTGTTAGCCTTCCTAGTACTGCATGTGATCCGGACGGTGCCCGTCAGTGGTCACCCGCTATCGACCTCGCCCATGGGTACAGTATCTGTGGCACAAATTACACCATATTCCCCAGATAGGGTACTACTTCAACATTGACCACTAACATCCTATTTGTCATACAGTGCACTACTGCTGTTGACTATTGATCAGAGTCTGTATAGTAGTGCACTGCACAGAGAGTCACTGTCAGAGCTGGCGATTTGGCCACTGTAAGACTAGCTAAATGACCCTGGGATTCTACACCAGACACTATCCGTATATGTATAGTATACATTATCTACTGTACATGTATAGTATACATTATCTACCATATATGTATAGTATACATTATCTAACATATATGTATAGAATACATTATCTACTGTACATGTATAGTATACATTATCTACCATATATGTATAGTATACATAATCTACTGTACATGTATAGTATACATTATCTACCATATATGTATAGTATGCATTATCTACCGTATAAATGTATAGTATTGCACTGCATGACAGCTTTCCACACTCTTGGCATTCTCTCAACCAGCTTCACCTGGAATACTTTTCCAAGTCTTGAAGGAGTTCCCACATATGCTGAGCACTTGTTGGCTGCTTTTCCTTCACTCTGCGGTCCGACTCATCCCAAACCATCTCAATTTGGTTGAGGTCGGGGGATTGTGGAGGCCAGGGCATCTGATGCAGCACTCCATCACTCTTCTTGGTAAAATAGCCCTTACACAGCCTGAAGGTGTTTTGGGTCATTGTCCTGTTGAAAAACAAATGATAGTCCTACTAAGACCAAACCAGATGGGATGGCGTATCGCTGCAGAATGCTGTGGTGACATTTTCCACATTGACTGACCTTCATGTCTTAAAGTAATGCTTATTTGAGCTGTTCTTGCCATAATATGGACTTGGTCTTTTACCAAATATATTCTGTATACCCCCCCTACCTTGTCACAATGCAACTGATTGGCTGAAACACATTAAGAATTAAAGAAATTCCACAAATAAAATTTTAAGAAGGCATGCCTGTTAATTGAAATGCATTCCAGGTGACTACCTCATGAAGCTGGTTGAGAGCATTCCAGGTGCCTATCTCATGAAGCTGGTTGAGAGAATGCCAAGAGTGTGCAAAGCTGTCATCAAGGCAAAGGGTGGCTATTTGAAGAGTCTGAAATATAAAATATATTTTGATTTGTTTAACACTTTTTTGTTTACTACATGAATCCATATGTGTTATTTCATAGTTTTGATGTCTTCACTATTATTCTGCAATGTAGAAAATAGTAAAAATCAAGAAAAACCCTTGAATGAGTAGGTGTTCTAAAACATTTGACCGGTAGTGTACATTATCTACCATATGTATAGTATACATTATCTACCATATATGTAGGACATGTCAGACACATACTGGACATGTTTGCATTGGAAGTTTTGTTGCTCATAAATGGGAAGTCTTACTGACTTAATTGACCAAGTGCACATTTTTCTCTGAGTTGGTTTGTCATGGTTGATTAGTGATCAGGACATGACCTCGTAAGAATTGGCGAGCGGAATGCGTTATCTGTTTGATTGTGAAGACTGTGCCTTTTCCGCCCCACATTTCCAAACAAAATGATCTCACTCCTCATCTGATTAAAATAACCAGAGGACTTTCTCTCGTTCTCTTGTGGGTACAGTAGGGAGAAGTCAAACTCGGCCAAGTTTGTTCCAAAGTTTTGGGGACTGTTTCAAGGTCTACGGAAGCCCCATGTGGACAAACAGTGCGGGGTAAAGTGGGCTAACAAAGCCTCCGGACTCCCTGTGCCCCAAATTATCTCACAAGGGAGCGCTATGGCAGGCTGTGGTGCTTCTTAATCTGCCGCTTTTGTCCTTATGTAATGAGGAAATAGTTCAGAGGGCAGAGAGACTGTGTGTCTGTCCTCCACCGTGTGGGACACTCTCTATACCCTGCCTCACGACAGGACATTATGAAGCATAAAATCACATTAGCTCTTATTTCCTGGCTGCCAGTTAGAGGATATGATGACTTCACAGAGTAAGTAAGCGTGACTATTAACTCTATTGTCGAACAGTCAGTGACAGTCTGCAGATGATGAACGTAGCCCCAGATTGTAATGATAATGGCTGCTACAACAATTTGCAGTGTGGCAGTGTATTAACCACAGGGCCAGATGTGCTCCAATTATGATTTGTACCAGTGCTGTATAAAGTTTGTACCTGTGATTTTCAAGAGGGAATAAAACGGAAAAGAGCGAGCAAAATGAAGCCTTCTTCCGAAAAAGAAGTATGAATAAATCGTTTATTTTGGTATTTTATTCTCATGCGGTCTCAGTCTCAGTAACAGGCAAGGATTTAAGACCCGAGAAGGACATACATACTTCTAAAACATTTTAGGAAAAGGAGGAAGTCGGAAGCAGCATCAACTGGAACTGCGTTATAGGCGGACAAAAGGATGATGATGAAAAAACAGAGGAGAGGTACAGTCGTCATGAAACCTGACGAGCAGGCCGGCAAATCCATTAACAAAAGAGGAGGATGAATCATTGCTTCCGGATACCGGATTTGTCCAGCACCACTGCCGGAGTGTTTTTATGGGAGTGAGAGTGAGGGTAAAGCCATTCCATGCAGTTCTCTTCAGTATGCTGTGGGTTTCAGTGGTGAGGAATTTGGCTCCAGCAGAGTGGGATAAACTGTTCTAATGTAGAACAGGCGGGCGTTGAGGATTCCACATACGGAGTAACAGAACACTCAGAGTGAGGTAGTGTTCCGGAATTAGAACGTTCAAATGTTAGAATGTTGAGGAGAATGTGGGTAGAATGTTCAGACCAAGGGGTGAGGAGTGAAGTGAAGTTCAGTAGTTTCTGTAGGAGTTCCTCAGAATGGGTTGATGGAACAAAACAAAAGTGAAGAAGTAATGTGTTGGCCCGAATACAAACAACTCACCACCTTGGCTCTGAAATGAAACTCCTACAGACCTGTAAGGATGGTTATAGATAAGCATTATCCTAAATAATATATCTTGAGACTGGACTATCATCTGATTGATATTATTCAGCAGTAGTGTCCAGCTAGGGCCACAACAGTGTGCTCCTAATGGCAGTAGTAGTGGCCCTGGTCCATTTGATCACAGCGACTGAGACAGACTGCTCCTCTCCAGGCCTGGCAATGACTCTGGCATCTGCCGTCTAACTCTCACTCCCTCATTTGCTATTCAGATGAGTTGACATTAAAATATTGCATAGATTAAAGTGAGTTGAGAGGCTTACTGAGAGATGGAGCGACCCTGGAGAGGAAGTGGCAGACTGCTGATGTTGGTTAAGATCTACTGCAAAGTGAACAATGTAACGCACAACTGTCCAGTCAGAAATTATATGCCCAGGGCATGTTGGGGTAGATAGAATGTATAGCAACTCTAACTTCAGGCCTCCTCTGATATACACCACCGGTTTTAGAACACCTACTCATTCAAGGGTTTTTCTTCATTTTTACTATAGAATAATAGTGAAGACATCACAACTATGAAATAACACATATGGAATCATGTAGTAACCAAAAAAGTGTTAAACAAATGAAAATATATTTTATCTTTGAGATTCTTCAAATAGCCACCCTTTCCCTTGATGACAGCTTTGCACACTCTTGGCATTCTCTCAACCAGCTTCGCCTGGAATGCTTTTCCAACAGTCTTGAAGGAGTTCCCACATATGCTGAGCACTTGTTGGCTGCTTTTCCTTCACTCTGCGGTCCGACTCATCCCAAACCATCTCAATTTGGTTGAGGTCGGGGGATTGTGGAGGCCAGGTCATCTGATGCAGCACTCCATCACTCTCCTTCTTGGTAAAATAGCCCTTACACAGCCTGGAGGTGTGTTGGGTCATTGTCCTGTTGAAAAACAAATGATAGTCCCACTAAGCCCAAACCAGATGGGATGGCGAATCGCTGCAGAATGCTGTGGTAGCCATGCTGGTTAAGTGTGCCTTGAATTCTAAATAAATCACAGACAGTGTCACCAGCAAAGCACCCTCACACCATAACACCTCCTCCTCCATGCTTTACGGTGGGAACTACACATGCAGAGATCATCCGTTCACCCACACCGCGTCTCACAAAGACACAGCGGTTGGAACCAAAAATCTCCAATTTGGACTCCAGACCAAAGGACAAATTTACACCAGTCTAATGTCCATTGCTCGTGTTTCATGGCCCAGCAGGTCTCTTCCTCTTATTGGTGTCCTTTTAGTAGTGGTTTCTTTGCAGCAATTTGACCATGAAGGCCTGATTCACACAGTCCCCTCTGAACAGTTGATGTTGAGATGTGTCTGTTACTTGAACTCTGTGAAGCGTTTATTTGGGATGCAATTTCTGAGGCTGGTAACTCTAATGAACTTATCCTCTACAGCAGAGGTTTCTCTGAGTCTTCCATTCTTGTGGCGGTCCTCATGAGAGCCAGTTTCATCATAGCACTTGATGGTATTTGCGACTGCACTTGAAGAAACTTTCAAAGTTCTTGACATTTTCCATATTGACCTGTTGTATTCGGCGCATGTGACAAATACAATTTGATTTGATTTGATTGTGTCTAGGGGTCTTAGTCCTAGCTACAGGGTCTGTAACCTGACTCATTATGTCTAGGGGTCTTAGTCCTATCTGCATGGTCTGTAACCTGACTCATTATGTCTAGGGGTCTTAGTCCTATCTGCATGGTCTGTAACCTGACTCATTATGTCTAGGGGTCTTAGTCCTATCTGCATGGTCTGTAACCTGACTCATTATGTCTAGGGGTCTTAGTCCTATCTGCATGGTCTGTAACCTGACTCATTGTGTCTAGGGGTCTTAGTCCTATCTGCATGGTCTGTAACCTGACTCATTATGTCTAGGGGTCTTAGTCCTATCTGCATGGTCTGTAACCTGATTTAATGCGACTCCCACGGTCGGCCAGTCCAAGCAGAATTGAGTCTGTTTGCATAGGCAGTGTGCATGGAAAAACAAAAAGCTTTGCCCGCGGTATACTTTGCTTGTGGTTTCATCTGTTCAAGTGGTTTTGAGGAAGCATTATGCACAAGAGAAGTGGCAGGGGTTTATTTTGGAATTGGTGGAACTACCCAGGCTCTCTTCTGAATACAGAGACAGTATAGAGAAGATTGAGGTTCCACGGCCAGTAGAAAGCTATTGTTGTTCAAAGTGAGAAGCTATTGATGACGTTAGGATTTCTCTCAGAGAGTTTGTGGTTAGGATTTCTCTCAGAGAGTTTGTGGTTAGGATTTCTCTCAGAGAGTTTGTGGTTAGGATTTCTCTCAAAGAGTTTGTGGTTAGGATTTCTCTCAGATAGTTTGTGATTAGGATTTCTCTCAGAGAGTGTGTGGTTCGGATTTCTCTCAGAGAGTGTGTGGTTCGGATTTCTCTCAGAGAGTTTGTGGTTAGGATTTCTCTCAGAGAGTTTGTGGTTAGGATTTCTCTCAGAGAGTGTGTGGTTAGGATTTCTCTCTGAGCGTGTGGTGTGAATGTTAAGCTCAGTCTCTGATCAGCGCCCTCTTTGTCCCAGAGAGCAGAGTTCGGCTTCAGAGCCCTTATCATATAAAGCCTATTAGCATTAGGCCGCTGATACTTGTTTGACACACAAAAACACACACACAGGCACACACACCGAGCCCTTTGGTTCGGCGGCGGCCAAGCACTTATCCCGAGCCTATTACAGGCATTAGGGCTGTGACAGACACTCTGAAGCATTGGCAGAGCATCAGTGCTGTGGAGCGGGGAAGCTGAGAGGCTGAACAGCCTCAGATTAATAGATAGTCATTAATACACAACGCACCCCAGAGACCACAGTATAATCTCAGGGCAAATGACTCCATCAAAAAAGCAACGACCAGAGAAAGGGAGGGAGGGAGGGAGGGAGGGAGGTGTGTGTGTGTGTGTGTTTGTGCTGTCCTGGTGTGTGTGTGTGTGTGTGTGTGTGTGTGTGTGTGTGTGTGTGTGTGTGTGTGTGTGTGTGTGTGTGTGTGTGTGTGTGTGTGTGCATTGTCTGGGGTGTGATCAGAGTTGAATGTGATTCAGAAGTACTTATAACCGTGATTACACAGGCGCTGCACACAAAACCAACACCATACATCTTCACTACTGTCAGACTGCAGATAGAACACACAGTGATTCTGACTAACTGAAGCACTCAGCGCCTAATCCCACTTCATCAAAGACAAGTGTGGAGTAGCTACAATGTTGTTGATCCATCCTCAGTTTTCTCCTATCACAGCCATTAAACTCTGTAACTGTTTTAAAGTCACCATTGGCCTCATGGTGAAATCCCTGAGTGGTTTCCTTCCTCTCCGGTAACCGAGTTACGAAGGACAGCTGTATCTTTGTGGTAACTGGGTGTATTGATACACCATCCAAAGTGTAATTAATAACTTCACCATGCTCAAAGGGATATTCAATGTCTGCTTTATTTTTTATTTTGACCCTACCAATAGGGGCCCTTCTTTGCAGTGTTGGTATCATTGGAAAGAAAATACCTGGGACATAAGGAAATGGTCAGAACATAGACAAGAATGGCACAGTTCAGATCACACAAGATCAAGCACACACAAAGTACCCATTTTTTGTTTTATTTTCAAAGTCATCTTTCATGGACAAGCTATAAGTCAATTATTGATTAAAAGAGCTGGAAACACATCAGATGGCTTCCACGAGAAGTCAAAAACGTATTTTTTTATTTTTATTGATAGACACAACAGCTAGAACATTTTAGTACAGAGGTTTTAGTAAGGTGTCCGGTGCGGTCAAGGACTGTCTCCAAGTGTCCCCTCAACCACTCCAAAGTGTCCTAAGTATGCAAATGAGGTAATTCCACTGCTATTACACATTGAATAAGCCTAAAATGTTTTAGTCCCACATTAATAAGAACTATTTGCAAGAAAAATTATGAAAACAGATTGACTCTTGCGAGACGATCATACCCTGCAGTCCCCTTCTTCTTGTCATTCTCATTCTTTGTGGTTCACTCATGTGAAGAGTATGGTTGATTGCCAAGAAATGGTTTTCACTCATGATGGAGGCAAGGAACTTGAATCGGTAGAGCGGGGACTTGCTCCACTAGTCAACTAGTCCTGATACCTTCACCAGTCCCATGTATATCACCAGGGAAATGTACGAGAGCATGTCGCCCATGGTGACATGTTTCCAGTGCATCTTCTTCCCCCATGCTGCTTCTTGTCCCCATACTTGTTGGTATTGGAAACTGGTGTCCCCAGCACAGAGGTGGTGAAGTAGAGCTGAAACAGCTAGAAGGAGTACTGTCCAACTGTGGGCCGACAGGTCGTTTGGGTCTGTACCTGGGCGGTACTGGCTCCACATAATCTTCAATGACTGTATGCCATCTGTCCTCAGGTTCATCTCCCTCTGTTGTGCTGGCTCCATTCCAGTGACCCTACCTCTGCTCCTCCCTCTTCTCTGTTGAGGCCTAGGTGTCCACCTCTAGATGAATTGGCTGAGAGGGGAGTGGAGCCAGGGCTTGCTGTGGGGGTAGTGGAAGAGGAGTGGGGCCTTTGTGGAGTGGTGGAGCTTGAACCATCAGTAGAGACAGCAGTAGAGACCAGTGGCTGTTGGTGCCATTTAAGATGAGGGAGGACACATTTTTTTCCATGAGCATGGCCTTGTTTCTATTACAGCATATTGGATGACTGTCATTCATATTCCATTCACCCAGTTAAATGTAACAGCGATAGGTTTAGGCTACTACATGATACTCAAATGTTCCCTATATCCATCATGAGGTTGCTACAACCTAGCCTATGAATGACAGTTTACAACGTAGGTGCCACATGGAGAGTGACACATGGACAGACAGTGACATTCAATACCGCCTTGCACACTCCTGCCTGCATCTATCTGATATAGGGTGTAATCATTAGTCCAACAGTGGCAAACAAGAGTTTCTATTGGATAAATGCAGGTATGTTTATCCCCGTTTTATTCTGTTTGCTTCAGTTTAAGAAATGTTTTTCAACAGAATCGGCCAAATGAATACACCCCTGATCACAAGTAAACACAGTTCACTTTCATAGCAGCCACGTTGTATTACTTCTCGCATCTATGGGCTCTCGCATCTATGGGCGCTCCTCCTCTCACCTCTTCCCTTCGCTTGTGGACTTCAATGCACAACACATCAGCTGTATGTGACCAGGCAAAAAAAACATTCCAAGCCAAACCGCTACACACAGCCTAAATCGTTGTCACCATATTAGCTAAAGTAATGTCATAGTCAGCATAGCTAATAGAACTAACACGTTAGTAAACCCACTACAATCATGCAGTAACGTTACAGTGTACAGTCAGTGAGCTATTACACCGGCGGGCCCTGAAGGCAATAAATTAGTAAAACCAAAAGCTTACCTTGACTTGGAAGAGTTCCAGTGTTGTGTTGGATAGTCATAGCCAGCTAGCTAACATAGCATCCCTCTGTTTGAGCAGGGTGTTTCAGTAGGCTAAACTAACTAGCTGCATTTGCTAGCTAAGTAAGTGAAACTGAAAGTGAAAAAAAAATGAAGAAATCTCTGTTACTCTCTTGCTTGTCCTTCATTTTGGAATAAATTAATTTGTTCAAAATGGTTCAACTACTGTCTTTCTCTCCCTTTGAGTCAACTACTCACCACATTTTATACACTGCCGTGCTATCTAGCTGTAGCTTATGCTTTCAGTACTAGATTAATTATCTGATCCTTTGATTGCGTGGACAACATGTCAGTTCATGCTGCAAGAGTTCTGATAGGTTGGAGGACGTCCTCCGGAAGTTGTCATAATTACTGTCTATGGAACGGGGTGAGAACCATGAGCCTCAATGTACCCAGAGGAGGACGGAAGCTATCTGTCGTCCGGCTACACCATGGTGCTACCCTACAGAGTGCTGTTGAGGCTACTGTAGACCTTCATTGCAAAATAGTGTGTTTTAATCAATTATTTGGTGAAGTGATTATATTTAGTATAGTTTTGTCTAAAAAGGATAAACCCTTTTAAATGTTTTAGAATTTTTATTTTTATGAAATTCACTGAGGAGGATGGTCCTCCCTTTCCTCCTCTGAGGAGCCTCCACTGGTAGAGATAGCAGTGGGGGTTGTGGATCTGACAGTGGAGGGTGAAGACCTTGACCGGCGGGGGCGCTTGCTGGGGGGTGGTTTGCTCCCAAACGTCATCATCCTCTCTGTGGGGAATACTATGAAGGAATATAGAGGGATCAATGTTGCTGTAAGATACACATAATTACAGTTGACTAATTTTATAAAAATGAAATTACTGTAATGTAAAAGCAATATACTTAAAGATAACACCCAGCCTAAACTTTGTTACAAATTCCCTGCTGGTGACTTTTAGCACAGCATCTCACAGCCCTCTCTCAGAGACAAACTCTGTAAATGTCTAACTCCTTCAGTAGGTTCCCCTCCCCCGCTGGACATAGCAGGCCAGGGGGACTGTAAACTGGTCCTTCACAACTGGCCAGGTGAGAGAGAGCAGCCAGCTCACCTCGTCCACAACGCATCTCAGAATAGGAGTGCTGATCTAGGAGCAGTTGAGCTTTTTAGATCATAATGAATAAGATTATTTGGACACTGTCTGGAGAGTACCTCACACAGAGGTGTGAAAGATACAAGACAAAGGATCAATGGCCTCAAGAGTTTGATGACCTCTCTGCAGGGGTGTAGGCAGAAATGTGGATGGGCCTTTGTCATATACAATATGGAACTACTTTGGAATGATACACAGGATATAGGCTACACAGGACACCGCTATACTGTAAACACAAAACAAAAAGAAGCAGACAACTATATATAAAGAAAATGTAAATACATATAGTAAACTTTAGAAAGTTATACAAAATAACGGAATCCAATCCTTCTAGAAAACATTTCTCTTCCCGAGTCATCTTGGGCAAGGTTGCTCCCAGCATCTGTGTCTGACTCACTAAGAATTTCCTCCAAAGCCTCTTTCTCAGTACACCTGGATTTTGTCATCTTTGTACCCTCCTGTTGTGTAGTTTTCTTGCTTTTTCGCTTTCTTTTACATCCCTGAAAAGCCATTTTTATGCCAAAGCAATGAAAGAATCTGTTCACAATATTATGATGCGTTCTGTGCATTCGGAGTGCATCCTTTCACAGTGCCGGTAGCAATGGGCCGCATTATGCAGAAGAACTACTGAAGTCCTACATAGTCCCACCCAGCTGATCTGATATGACTGTAAAGCGTATCTTATTGGCAACACGACTGTCCACCCAGTCTAACACTATACTACAGGTCGAAAGATAAAAACACCACACTTTTTGTGCGCAAAGATGTAGTCACTGGGTGGACATTTGATGTTCTAATTCAGCCACACATTATCGGAGAACATTTCCACTTCTGTTCGTAAGAACCTAATGATTCATTTGACACCTCCCACTTAGCTCTAGCTCAAACACAGACCAAATCGAAGATGTTTGTGTTCAGAGAAAACGAAGTATAAAATGAACTTCTTGACTCTCTGGGCTGTGAATCGATAATGGTTTGAGTTAATTTTTTTACAGGGACAGTGCACATTAATTAACGTTTCAGTAAAAGTGCCAGTTTTAGCCAGCTGGCTAATTTTCAACCACAGTCCCTAGGCAGGTTATTAAAAACAATGACAATAGAGACAAACAATGAGCAGTGAGCACATGCAGAGCAACACATAGCATGCAGACAGAGCAATACTGTTTCTCGATTGCTAAGACACATTTCTTGAAACCTTCACCCATTTTCTCAAAACTTTAAACACAAAACCAAATCTTCAAACTACATTCACAAAACCCCTGACTCTTCTGGCAAAATCAAACAATTACCTCAAAACCTTTTAATCTGTGCTCAAAATCAAACCATGCTTTCAGATCATACACACAGCCAGTCAATATATAAACACTACAGAGCGATCATTAGACACTACATAAAAAAAAATGGAGAACACAGCGTCCAGGGCATGTAGTTACAGAATGTTTTATTTATTGTATACAGTGGGGAAAAAAAGTATTTAGTCAGCCACCGATTGTGCAAGTTCTCCCACTTAAAAAGATGTGAGAGGCCTGTAATTTTCATCATAGGTACACGTCAACAATGACAGACAAATTGAGGAAAAAAAATCCAGAAAATCACATTGTAGGATTTTTTATGAATTTATTTGCAAATTATGGTGGAAAATAAGTATTTGGTCACCTACAAACAAGCAAGATTTCTGGCTCTCACATGCCTGTAACTTCTTCTTTAAGAGGCTCCTCTGTCCTCCACTCGTTACCTGTATTAATGGCACCTGTTTGAACTTGTTATCAGTATAAAAGACACCTGTCCAAATCCTCAAACAGTCACACTCCAAACTCCACTATGGCCAAGACCAAAGAGCTGTCAAAGGACACCAGAAACAAAATTGTAGACCTGCACCAGGCTGGGAAGACTGAATCTGCAATAGGTAAGCAGCTTGGTTTGAAGAAATCAACTGTGGGAGCAATTATTAGGAAATGGAAGACATACAAGACCACTGATAATCTCCCTCGATCTGGGGCTCCACGCAAGATCTCACCCCGTGGGGTCAAAATGATCACAAGAACATTGAGCAAAAATCCCAGAACCACACGGGGGGACCTAGTGAATGACCTGCAGAGAGCTGGGACCAAAGTTACAAAGCCTACCATCAGTAACACACTACGCCGCCAGGGACTCAAATCCTGCAGTGCAGACGTGTCCCCCTGCTTAAGCCAGTACATGTCCAGGCCCGTCTGAAGTTTGCTAGAGTGCATTTGGATGATCCAGAAGAGGATTGGGAGAATGTCATATGGTCAGATGAAACCAAAATAGAACCTTTTGGTAAAAACTCAACTCGTCGTGTTTGGAGGACAAAGAATGCTGAGTTGCATCCAAAGAACACCATACCTACTGTGAAGCATGGGGGTGGAAACATTATGGTTTGGGGCTGTTTATCTGCAAAGGGACCAGGACGACTGATCCGTGTAAAGGAAAGAATGAATGGGGCCATGTATCGTGAGATTTTGAGTGAAAACCTCCTTCCATCAGCAAGGGCATTGAAGATGAAACGTGGCTGGGTCTTTCAGCATGACAATGATCCCAAACACACCGCCCGGGCAACGAAGGAGTGGCTTCGTAAGAAGCATTTCAAGGTCCTGGAGTGGCCTAGCCAGTCTCCAGATCTCAACCCCATAGAAAATATTTGGAGGGAGTTGAAAGTCTGTGTTGCCCAGCGACAGCCCCAAAACATCACTGCTCTAGAGGAGATCTGCATGGAGGAATGGGCCAAAATACCAGCAACAGTGTGTGAAAACCTTGTGAAGACTTACAGAAAACGTTTGACCTGTGTCATTGCCAACAAAGGGTATATAACAAAGTATTGAGAAACTTTTGTTATT